AAAAGCGGCATAAAATCAATAAAATTGCGAATTACCAAAATATAATAGTGAGAAACAGTCCCGCCTTCGACCGCCATGTTTTTGTTTCTTCTCAAGACCGTTGATTAATGGTTTTTGACGTAATGCGCATGATCAGTACACAAATCCGCTGGCAAGAACCTTGCTGATCGCTTTGCAAGTTGTGAGAACATCGTTTGGATTTCATTTAAGAGAATGTATGGGAAGTAGCTTCCCCCCCCCTGGACCTGAACTTTGGAAATGCTTTACGCTGCGGATACTTTGGGTGCTTGCCTTCCGTTATGCACCCTCGGAGACCCAGGGGCAGATAGTGGGGGCGAGGGAAAGTCTAAACGGGCGGAAAAATAAGGCACGAAGAAAAGTAAAGAACGGCGAGAAGAGCCCCTGGGGACAATGTCTTACCAGACCAGTTCCAAACGGTCGCCGCCGTTCTGGCTTCTGATTGGTGCCAGAAAAACACAAGTTTTCTGGCACCAATCAGAAGCCAGAACGGCGCCCGTTTAGACTTTCCCTCGCCCCCACTATCTGCCCCTGGGTCTCCGAGGATGTCCGTTATGCGAAGTTTCACAGAAATCTGTTACAGGAATTTCGAGATATCTTGGCATTTCTTAAAAAGGGTATAGAGGGTGTCCCAAAAGTTCGTTCCTCTAACTTCATGCGCTATAACTTTTGATCAAAACTTCATTTTTACATGAAATTTGTAAAATATGTTTCTTACTCTATCGAGTACATGTGTTCAGAAGTTCAGTTACCGGCATCCCCCCTTTGTTTTTTATCACACTCTGTAGCCGTTGCGGCATTAAGTGAAATAAGCCATGTAGCATGTAGAGCCCTAGATGATTAATTTTGAGCTTTTTTATCACCTAGTATGCAGAAGTCACTTCGGCCTCCAAACAATATAATTTTTTACATTAGGCAGCTGAAACAATATATTTTGGGCATTGATCCAAGAAGAGATGATCATTCCGTCCCCTTTCCACAGTAAGGCTTTTGTTCTTCTTTACAAATTTGAGACGAGCTGAACGTTGCTTGGCGGACGGCCCTGGCCGAGAGTAAAGTTTTTTTTTGGCCATCTCGGGGGTCTCCAAACTTTGCTTTTCATGAACCTGCTCCAGACTTAACTTGCTAACGGTTGTAAGAGCTACCTCGGTGGGTTTCCTGTTTTATACTTGGCCTTCTTTAAAACTACTTTTTTTAGTGCTTTTATTCAGGACTTTCGGTCTTACCCCTCGTTTCTTGTCTGTAAAACCTTCATTTCTCTATGACCATCTTACCACCGAACATTAGGATTTTTCCATTTTTTTAGGAATTTGTTTAACTGATAAGCCAGTAGATATAAATACATCTTCTGCTGGCACGTAGCTGAGTATTTTTTCGTTGAGAGAGCTTAATCTTTCAGGATATTCACACAAAAAAAGTTAGGAGTTCGAGCATTTCGGGCTACAACATGCAAAAAATATATGGCGGGAAAATTTACTCGGGCAGCGCACTTTTGGCGCGAAATTACACAAATCGAATTTCGAGTACAAAGATGGCACAAGAAGTATGAAATATAAATTAGATTGAAAGTCACATCTTGGGTTTAAATTATGTGCTGATCAAGTCCAATCGTACTGCGTTACAGACTTATAAAGTAGAGGAACGAACTTTTGGAACACCCTGTAAATTATGCATGAACTGAAGACTGGACTTATTAATGCAGACAAATTTCCTAATTTTTTTATCTTTCTGGCAAGGTTTTCTCGTTCACTCGTTTCGTAAATGATCCTCATACACTCTACAATCGGCCAAACGCAAGCAGACTAGCGCGATTTCGAAAAACACGAAAACAAATGAATCGGGGTAAAACGTAATGCTGAGCTAAGGCTAATGCTAAGGCTACTTTCACGAAAACAGCGATTTATCTAAAATTCGACGATAGATTTTCTTAAGTTTAAAAAATTTCAGTGGTGCAATTGATTAGTGTACGATAGAATGCCCGATTTTCGTAACAACTGAAACATTTTAAGTTGCCTAACGAAGGCGCAAAATTGAGTAAATATTGAAGCGATGTGATATATTTGGATAATGTTTTGCTTGCAGGGATTTCCTATTGTCTCGAGTTTAGCGCAACATCAAATTCTAATGCAGCACGCGAGAATTTACCGCGCTCTTTAGATGGGTGCCCTTTCGTAATGGTAATCGCTACATTTAATAATAATAATAATGATGATAATAATAGTAATAATAATAATACTGTTTTTTTTTTTTTTTTTCAGGCGCTCTTTTCCACTTTCAAGCTCCTTCGCAAATAGTAGCAAGCGAGGATGCAGGAACTGCTCAATATTCTTTTGAACTTTCTCTCAATAATACTGATAATATAAACACTACCGTTTTTCTGAGGTGAGAAACTTACTTACCATTTGGGAATTCAATTAAAACTTTAGCCAGAACAAAGCATCATCATCATCGTTAATATCGCAATTACAATCAACACCAACGTTATCATCATCATCATCATCATCATCATCATCATCATCATTACCATCACTATCACCGTCATCATCATTATCATCATCATCACCGCTGTTTTGTCTTACCATACGGCAGAATTTTTGCTTGATCTTTGATGTTAGAAGTGCTGAACAAGTCTTTTTGAATATGATACCAGCCTTTAGGGTTGTAAAGGTGCGAGGAACATATTTAAGGTGGCTCGACTGGATTTTTTGGGGGAGATACCTCCCACGTTTGAGCATTAACTACGTCGGCATGAGTAAAGATACGGGAAAAAGGTTACCACAACTGTATTACATAAAGATGAAAACTTCTTATGATCTGGGTTCTATTGCAATCCGAATCAACAAAAGCGGGTAAAAGGTTGTATGACATACTATGGGACTTCCTGGTATATGAGGTCTTAAGAGAGAGAACTCACTAGGAAACGGCAAAGCAACTAAATGTTACCGGATCTTATAAAAAGTGAAAGATCAATTAGTTTTCTTCGCTCTTACAGTGATGAACAATCTATTTGGTAATCATGGATCAATCTAACAAAACTTGTAAAAGTGTAATCTACAAGCCGTAGCTATGGTTCTCAGACTATAAAACAACAGCTTTTTTTAATCTACAAACAGATTCTTTCCTTTTTTTTCAGGGGAATTACGGTGGACATAACAGCCACGGCCAATTCAGACTATCAACCGCTAAATGCACTCATAACTCTTCAAACCAACTTCTCGTTGGCACGATTTACTGTCACTCTCGGTATTAAAGACGATGATGTGTTTGAAGGAAACGAAACAATGATGTTGATATTCTCACTTTTGGACGATAAACCCCCCTCCGGTAACCCCATTGTAGATCCAGCTAATACAACAGTTGTAATTGTAGATGATGAGCGTAAGTACTCCAACGAAGAAATATATTATGATATTCTCGGTATAATTCCTAAAACCTGAACAAAAACTCAGGATAATTGGGGTACTATTGTTGATATCAGCTCTATAATATAAATATTTATCCCTAGCTAAAAGTGAGGCTACTGTTAATACATTAATTCATGATTGGTTGAGCCCCGTAAAAACGGACGCATCATTGTTGGCCAACATTGTTGGGAGTTGTTGCATCTGTTTGCACGTAGCTAAAAGGTTGACCCGTTTCAAACTCTGCGAAGCAACTCCCAACAACACGCAACAGGGTGTGCAAACGGATGCAACATGTAATAACTGACAATGCTGGGAATTGTTGGCCAACAATGTTGCTTCCGTTTGTACAGAGCTTTAGGCCCGGTTAAGACGTTGACCTTTTCATGAGCCAAAACTAATTCAAATTAAAAGACGACCCAAATTTATTTACAACGGGTGAATTGATTTAGACGCCCATTTTAATTCAAGCTGAACTAAATTCAAAAGGAGAAAACTACTTATTTTCACTTCTTTTTTTGCAAAATACGTTACGCTAACTTGTGCAGTAGGTTCGGCACATGAAAATTTCGGCATTCGTCTGAATCAAAGCCGTTACAAAGTCGCTCCAAAGTCGAAGTTCCCGGTCGGGCTAGGCGGGTAGAACAGCTGAGCCATTCCAAATTGAAATAGGCGTTCCTTATTGTTTCAGACGCCGAACTTTTCATGTATTTCATTCAGTGTATTTGGTTCGGCTCATGAAATGTTCCGCGTCTGAACCGGAGCTTGCTTCAAACAAGTACTGCAACAGCACAATCATGGTGCAGAAAACTGCAACCGCAGAAAATCTGTTTCTGATGACGTTAAATGTTCAATTCTAAATCTAACAGGCTCAAACTATTTGTGTAGTAATTTATCGCCCTCTTCTTGTAAACTGGTAGGTTAGTGGATTACATTATAGCAGTAGCAATCAACAAGCTGTGTCTCCTATGTAGTGGTTTCCACAGCCATTGCATGTAATGTCGTTCCCCATGCCCGTTTTCATCTTAGGGGAGGTCTTATGTGACCGACAGGACTTTTGAGGTGTTGTAAAAGAAATATGAGACCTTTTGAGGCTATAATTTAGTTTTGAAATTTGAATCCCAAGGTTAAGAATGAGCATTCATGGAATTTAATTCTATTCTTGCTTCAGCTCCGCCGTCCACGTTACCTTCGGTCTTAGCCTCGGCGTCAATATCATTGCCTTCCTCAACATCGATGTCACCTTCAATGTCGCCGTCAGTGTCAGCATCAGTGTCGCTATCCACGTCAGTCTCGACTTCTGATTCAGCTTCGACTTCACCATCAATGTCGACATCAACTTCAATCTCGGCGTCAATATCATTGCCTTCCTCAACATCAATGTCACATTCTACGTCACCATCAATGTCGCCGTCAGTGTCAACGTCAGTGTCGCTATCTACGTCAGTCTCGACTTCTGATTCATCGTCGACTTCACCATCAACATCAGTGTCTACCTCAACATCAATGTCGCAGTCAATGTCAACAACAGTGTCAATGTTCCCATTTGCATCAGCCACAAGGTCTAATTCAGCATCTGCTCCAGCGTCAATGTTGCCATCATCGTCAGTTTTGGTGTCAACTTCAGTGTCTGCCTTGACATGGATGACACCGTCGACGTCAGTATCAACGTCACAATCAGTTTCACATGTCACAGCACCATCTCTGTCACAGGTTATAGCGCCATCATCGACTCAGCAAATATCATCAGCTGTGTCATCTTTTGTGGGCCTTGGCAATGGGACTGGTGCTAGTGGGCAAACGAGTGATGATGATTCACGTACGTGGTTCTTTATTCTTTTCCTTCACATAGTTTTTGTACAATTTCGCTGGGCAATTAATCACACCCCCAAAATTATCTTATTTAAATTGTCAAATTATATTAGATAGATTTAAAATGACGTTTATGGCAAACGGTAAACTTGTAGCTAAAAACAGTCCGAAGCAATTGTTATAGAAAAAACCAACGGGAAGCTGCTATTTTTGGGGTGGAAGTAATGACGTCTCACGGTGGTCGGCTGCCAACAAAATGGTTACAAACGCTGCGAATACGAAATGTCTCCTTGTTACAGGGAAACGTACACCATGCAAGCTTGACAATTGTTCACTGGAACTCAAACTTGTTGACTTTGACATAGAACAGGTTGATAGTCAGAAACTCTTAGGGGTTACAATTGACAAACACTTAAGCTTTGATGTACACGTTGAGGAACTGTGCAAGAAGTTATCCCAGAGAATAGCGGTTCTTAGGAAGATAAGGAGATTCATCCCTATTAAACAGCGCATACTTTACTACAATGCTATGATCAAAAAAGTAATGCTGTATGGGTCAACTATTTGGTCAAACTGCTCAGCTGATAACTTAACGAGAATCCTCAAGCTGCAAAAACGTCCTGCCCGAGTAATTTTAGGAGCTGACACAAGATCAAATACCGTAAATTCCTTCAACAAATTAGTGTGGCTCCCATTTTTTGACGAAGCTAAAGTTAATAAGTGTTCGCTAGTCCTTAAGCGCCTGCAAGGAAACTGCCCCAGCTACATGTATGACCTTCTTAAATGCAATGCAGATTTACACACACGCAGTGGGCGGTGCAGTGCCTTAAACCTCGTCTGCCCCAGATATAATCGTGAATCTGAGGGAGGGAGAACTTTTAGCGTGTCGGCGACCAGGCTCTGGAACTCTCTGCCCATTAACTTTAAGAAAGGAACATGCGTAGTCTCATTTAGAAAGGCTATTTATAGTCATTTTTTAACGAGATACAATGACGTTGATCATTTTAGCTTCAGTGAAACTTAATTTTATTTCTTAGTTTTATGCTAATCCGGCGTTTCACAACCTTCCTCTCGCTGGACCCATCCTAGTTGTAATTATAATTTATAGTTTGTAGATATTCATATTCATTGTAAGGATATTTTATAACTGTCGTATAGTTTTTACTCTTTTTAGTCTTATTCATATATATACTTATAGCTCTTTCTCTTTAACGAAATGTATTTTGGTTACTCAACTTGGTCACGTGGCACAAATTTACTTTTGCCGTTTGCCGTCAGCGTGACTCTAAATCTCTCTATTGCTGGCCAGGGGGTGGCAAAAACGGCTTTTGGTAGCTTCAAACGGTGAAAATCGTTGACAATACAAGCTAAAGGGAATGACTTAATTTCTTTTTTACTATTTTAAATTTCAGAAAAGGGGAAAGGTGACACAATCATATCCTTGATGGCGATGGCTGTTACTCTGATGTGCCTTTCAATTGTTGTGATGCTAATAGTAGTTGCCTTCTGTGTAATGAAATAGTAACATAAAAAGCTAGGCAGCTAGGAATTAGATAATCTACTAAGAACTGTTTTATCGATGTGAAAAGCAAGAACAATGTAAAACCAGGGAAAACTTTCGGCTTTAGGATGTAAAGCTCAAGCAAACCGGAAAACACCTCGTGCACAATTTTGTGTGGGTTTGGTGCGTTTTCTTAAAACCAAAAGCCTCGTTGGGGATGAAAAATAAGAGGGTCTTAATGTGGTTAACCGTCAACAGTCGATGTTATTTTTCACCACTAAACGTCAAAAATGCAGATTAACCCTCGGACGTACGAGGGGGAAGCGGTGGCATCCACCCCCGCTCCCAGAAGTTTTTTCCTAGAGGATAAAACATAAGTATCTAACGTGTTTAGTAGCTGTTTATTCATCCCTCGCGCACATTTTGAGACAAGTTTAGAGATGGTCAGTTTTTATGCTTACGAGATATGACGTCATAAGTAGCAGGTGGTCATGCCAATTTTGGGTGAAAATACATTTTTTTTCAACTTCTTTCAACAGTAAAAGTAATTATTGCTCATTTTCCATGTAAAGCACAAAAAATTTACCATTTCTCGCGGTTTTAACCTGATTTCTAATTCTTGGTAAAATCCAAGATGGCGGCCAAGATGGCGACCATTGTTGGTGACGTCCCAGGCCTCCAGCAGCGCAACCACCCCTAAAATATACCTCATCTTGTTAAGAAGATCAAAGGATTTCCACTAAAGGTAAAATTGTTTCAAAATACTGCAACATATCAAAAACTCCGGGGAGGATTCGAACCCTTGACCTCTGCGATACCGGTGCAGCGCTCTACCAATATTGGGCTAACAAGCCAACTTGGAGCAGGTCGTTAAATTGGTTCGTTCTAAACCCGTGAAAGGATGAGGATGAAGTTATGAATATATGAAAATCATATATGGGAACTGCGGGGTGTAGAATTAAATGGAAGAAGATCACCGGTAGGAAAGTCTAAGTCATTGCTAAAGTGAGCAATTATAGTTGACTAAAGCTGATTAGTTCTATGCTGTATTTTGATTTTCAACGCTATTTGCGGGTAACGTATATTGTACGGGTTTTTGCTTCCTTGCCTGAATCGTGCTTATTCTGACAAGGTTTGAAAGAGCTCTCAGTCTCCTTGTACAAGTTATATAACAAAGGTGTCACTGACCCTTAAAACTGATGACTTCAAAAGCGGAACAAAGGCGGACGTGAATCGGCATGGGGCCGCGAATGGGTTAAAGCTAGAGAAGAAAGTACTTGTAAACAACAAAATCAAAGCTTCGGGTAAAAAAAAGTACAAAACGTTGCAGACAATACAAGCGAGCCATGGAAATTTGTTAGGCTCACGGGCTTTTAAAATCGACAACAGCTTTGAATTTTTTGCACGTGTTCTTTAAGCCTTCTTTTAATGATTTGAGCGGGATTTTTTTTTTCTCAATTTGATGGCAGTTTCCACTGTTTGATTTTTGATAAATATTTCCGTGATACAGCTCCGTTGCACTGAAGAAATAATGTTTTGTTGTTCTTGTTATTCACATCAAACCTCTTTAGCAGATCGGGGGGGGGGGGGTTTTTGGGATTTTTTGTGGGGGGGTGTGCGGGTGGGGCTGGGGAACCTTGAGTGTATACCAGAGCGTGTTAGAGTGAGTTTTTAGCCCCTATTCTAGAAAAAACTCCCCAAGGGGGGGGGGGGGGGGGGGTACTTTAGGAATTTTTGGGTGGGGATGTGCCGCTGGGACTCTGGAACCCTTAGCCTATACCAGAGCTCGTTCAAGTGAATTTTGCTACCCTATACTAGACTAAACTCCCAAACCCTTCCACTCCTCCTATCCCAGAGTAGCTGTTTTCCAGAAACTACTGAGTTCACAAACACAGTCCAGCCAAAACAAAACCGATTTGATTTTTTCATATTTTTGAGTGGCAATTTCCGGTACGGTTTCCCTAGTCTAGACTAAAATAATCAACCAATTGATCAGCTTCCTGGAAAATGATACCCTATTTTAGACCCAAACTCTCTCATTTATATACCCTATCCCACAGTAAACTGCTTGAAAACAATACCCTTCACAGAGGCACATACATATACATATATAACTTATATATGGCAGTACCCCCCCCCCGGGGGGGGGCAGGGCCTTGCATAGTACAATTCATCTCAGTAAGATTTTACAAAACGTAATTGAAGTTGTTTTGTGAATTTGGCCACTTTAGCCACTATGGTGAGGATTGAGAGGGTTTAATACCTGCACTTATCAGGAGGCATTACTAGCAGACTAGACTAGAGCAAAGTTTTTCTGCTTAAAATAACTCGTGTATAAACAGATATGGGGGCCCAAGGATTAAACCGCCGTCTGTTAGTAAGTTAGACTTCTTTTAAATAAATGATTCAATTTTACGAGGGTATATTGCGAAAGCGCTGGTTTATCGCTAACAGTAAATTTTTCACCCTACGATTCGTCGCCTTTCCTAGCTTGCACGTTCGTGAGTTAAAAGAGGAAGAAACCTCTTTGGTATTTTCATTGTTCCGTGACTTGGTTCGAAGTTAACTCGTTCTTAAAGCTACGGTACAGCTTGAAATCATATCCTCCCCTAATTACATATTAAAAAAAGAATAAGGCTTATATTTCACAGCCGGCACAATAGTCCAGTTTCGAATAAAAATTACCGCTGAATATAAACATTAACGACACATTCATACAGGGTTAGCCTCGACGTAAAGTAAAATATTCACAAATTCTGGACAGTAAGTGTTTGAAATTTGAATATACACAATAGACAGACTAATAAACAGATCTTTTTCTCGTTGGAACTTGTGTATATATTATTTCAGATCGAGGCTAAGGCTGTAAAAAATGCGTCTTCACTTCTTTAATTCAGCGGTCATAGCGAAATCGAAAATGGACTATTGACCGCTCCAGAAATACCATAACATACCATAATGCTCTTTGTCTGTCACTCCAAAATTTTGCACAAGCATTGTCTTAAGTTTCTCTTGGTAGTTTAAATGGCCCCAAGAGAAACTGAAAACAATGCTTATGTAAAATTTGGGGTGACAAACAAAGAGCATTATGGTATGTTATGGTATTTTCAGGAGTGATCAATTAGTATCTCTTTAACCCGCGTAAGCTCTCCACTTTCCGCTTGAACAATACTAGATTGTTAGAAAAGACCTTTTGTTGTACGGATTATTGGTACCGTCCGACTTTCCATTGCCAAGATTATCGCGACTACATTTAGTACTAGTGGACTTTCTTTTTAAGTTTTTAAAAATATGAACCATACCGGATAGGGCGTCCGTTCATACATAACAACGGTGATTCCGGAGCGATTTCTGCAAGGGAGCGAAGCTGCGCCTAGTCTCCCTCGCAGCCGTTTTTTGGATGTCACGCAAAGCGTTGCGTGACATCCAAAAAAACGGCTGCGAGGGAGACTAAGCTGCGCCGCGCAGATCTCGAAAGTGGAGAGTCACAAATCGGATAGGCGTTCACACTTTACCAGATAGCCTTTTGTGCCGACACAAAAAGATATCCGGGATAGTATGAACACAGCCTTAAACTTGAGTCCGCAGAAACGCAAAAACCTTATACCGTGTAGCATTTAAATTTTGCGGGTTCTAATTTTTGCGAATTTTGCGGATTGACCTCGATCCGCAAAAATTAGTTCCCGCAGAAAAAAAAAAACCGCAAAATTAAACGCCGCAAAAATTAACTCACTTCAGTCAAATTAAAAACTCTTCTTTTTTAATGGACTTGTTGTGTATGGTAGGGATAGGCTTTTGTTTTGTTTTGCTGTTGTTCAGTCCCTTTGTGAAGTAAGATATTACAGTGATTACCGTATTATTC